ACTCGCAAATTTTCTGTCGCGCAACCGCCGCAGATGCATCATCATGACGCCGGTGTTAAATCCTCGACCTAGAGCCGGCCATGGTCGTTGACCGTACGACAACGCCTTTACGTACCAATTGCTCTGATTTTCGATCAAGCCTAGAATTTCAACGGTCGAGAAGCTCTCGAACATTTTCCACAGTGAGTACACGTCGTTCATGACGGTCACGTCCGTATCCAACACGAGTATTTTGTCCTCTTGTATCGCGTCCGGCAGTATCAACTTCAAGAGACCATAAACTCCGGAATAATGCGTGTTGGGTATCCACGAAACCTTCGGCATCCACACTTCGGCTTCATAGAACGTTACGTTTACTAAAATAATCGCGTCGAAAAGAACGATCAAACGAAAGAGAAAAACATTCGCATAGAAGAGAGAGAAGCACGCATCTATCAAAAATATACATATTTAAAAAAAGTAAACGCTTGAAAAATTTCGTTTTTAATAAAACCTACCGTGTATAATTTATACATTGAGGAAATCTAACAGATTCAATTAAATTTTATGTATATATTTCGTATTACCTATGTCAAGGCACAGACTAGGATAAAAAGTAGGTTTCTCTGCTTCCTCTGTATACGTTACAAAGAGGAGGTATGCGCTGTCGTAAAAGACAGACTGTTACAAACCATGCGGCAAATCCCACGTTTGGAACAGAGTTGAAAGTGTTCTTCTGGCAATTTCGTCGACGAGCAGATGAAAATGCAACGGATTCGTACGATAAAACAAAATAGACTTGACCACAGTGACGAGAGCAAACGTTGAATTATAACCGGCGCACACCATAGCTATGTGTATTGTGTCGCATTTTACCTTGAAATTGTAGAATATTAATTCGTCGATATGCTGCGGTGGATGCTAATGAGAATAAATTTTATGCAAGAATACCTCGACATTATTTGCCAATCGCGATCGTTCGAGAGAGTGATCTCCCAGCAAATTCGATCCTTCTACTTTTATCGATAACGATCGCCATTTTCCTCCAATATTTGATTTGTTTATCTCCGCGGAGGGGACTAGAAATAACGTCTTAATGTTCTCAATGCTAAAGAGAGATCGATAATAATGTCACACACAGCTTTACCATTTAATAACAGGTACAAATAAAAGACAATGGATGGTATTAAAATGCCGAACAGACATCCTAGCCATGATCGAACCATTGTAATATGCCGTGCATATTTTCTAATTCGCGATATGATGTCTTAAATTAGACCAGATGCACACTGAAATATATGAAAGATAGGAAAATTAATTCAAGTTCGTCTTTTCCCCGTAACAATGTCTTAAAATTCATGCAATTCTACATATCTTACTAAGAAGAAAAATATTTTCTTTCATGCTTGAGAAAGAGGTCAATTTAATTTCATTTAATTAATTATTAGTAATTATAGACAATTTCAAAGATGCACTAAGTGATTGGCATTCAACAAGTTCAACAGCAAGTTTGCAAGAATTTATTGTCACTGCATAAAAATTGAAAATATTTAATAAAATATTATAGTATATATTGCTATATATATATATATATATATATATATATATATATATATATACCTGTATATATATATATCATCTGAATTTCTTGATATAAAAGTCAATAGATCATGTTTAACCTCCGAGTTTATGAATGCGTTATATCCAATTTCCTCGTGTTATGTAGATAACATTATGAATGCGACGTAATCATAATGCATGCAAATTAGTATCGTAAATGAAAACGTTATATTCCTTGCGTAGGGAAATTCCGAATAATTATACCGCAAGTGTGAAATTCATGCATCAGCATTCGGCATATGTTAACAGGCAGATGTTAATTGTAAATAGCGATAATAAATAAACGAAGCTTGATACATTAATTCTCTACTATCCAATGGAACTTTTAAGTCACTAGTTTTAATTCGCTTTTTTTATTTATGTACCTTTTTGTTGGACCGCTTTAACTTTGAATGTAAAAGACATGTATATTGTTTGTCTTATTTAACTTTGACGTATATCTGTTTATTTCTGTATTTATTTAACTTTCATGTATGTGTGTATTTATTTTTTTCAATGCATTTAAAGACGATTTTAGATAACGAAAGATAAAATACAGATTTATTTTGAGAGAAATAAATATATTAGTGTTTATATAATGACAAAAGAATAGCTATTTCTAATTATAATATTGCATTTATAGTCGTAAGATAATTTAAAAAACAGTTGAATTTTAATTTCAAAATTAAAGCGAGAATTAAGGAGAAAAATCTAGGAGGAAATGTGTGTGTACAATTCATTTTGCTTTTTTTGGAGTATTATTTTGGAGTAACCACTTTTTAGCTGTTAATCGCGTACATATAAGTACCATACCAGTGACCCAGTTTATAATTTTGGAGTAATACTTATACGTTCGTATATTTAAACGTACAAAAAATGTTGGAAATTTTAGTTAGCTCCTCTTGTAAGCTGGTTTTGAATATCATTCACATTTGCAATTTGTGATAATACAATAAACGATAAAATTTTTTATAAAATGCGTAGATTAATTTGGTGATTTTATCCATTACAACATTTTATAGATTTGAATATTTAAATTTAAATAATGCAGTCCTTTAAAATATTGCTATCAAAACGCTATAAATGCTAAACGGCACAAAATGCATATAAAATGATAATGAAAACAATATTATTCATAAAACATGCAACAAACGAAGTTCATTGATGAAGCGCATATGCAGCGTCGTTTGTATTTCAATTAAAAAAAAAATTGAATTTACAAAAAAAATTAGTTCGGTTCTTAATAAATAAAAGTGCAGTGAATTATTTTAAAAAATGTAAAAAGTATTATCAAAAATTTAGTGACGGAAATTTTGAAATGTTTTCAAGCTTTTTTACAAAACTCAGAAAATGAACATTTACTATAACCGGTGTTTTTCACTACTGCTCGTTAAATCGTTGCTAATACAGAGTTCTAAGGCCTCCCACGATGATACGCGAGTAATAATGTAATTACCAGTACATACCAGCGCCGGCTCAATTATTGTTTCTCGTTTTGTCATCCGGCAGTGCCCATCCCCGAATAAGCAAAAGTACAAGATGCAATTTCTACATATAATGTTGATTCGTAATGTTGATTCGTTGCGTCGTGCTTCTCGAGCATTCGATGCTGCCGATGTGGTCTGCTATTAGCGTCAGAAATGATGTAAATTGCCTCAATTAATCGTTAAGAAACGACAACACGCACACTTATGCGGATAAAAAATATATAACTAGAGAGTGGATACTTGGACTACACAACTGAACGACATTATTAATGCAACTACCGCCGCGCGACCGAAATTCTTACACTTGTTACAAATATATAGCGCCGTCGGCAATATCGTGCTAGCGTCCTTGTCGCAAGATGGCAGGAACGTCAGATGCGGCACACGTGATAGCCAGTGACAGCTGATTATCGCGCGTGCGCGCACGACCACGTGCGTCGCATATGACAGACACTCGACCGCAGGCGCAGAGTTGCATCGAGAACGTCAATATGAATTTATCTATGGTATAACTTCGTTTCGCGAAAATGTTTCCATATCTCTGCCTCCGAGAATAAATTCGTAAGTGAATTTTTGGTAGATTCTTTTCTGAAAAAAATTTTTGTGCGACGGAAATATCGGAAATATCTTATAAAATTTTAAAAAATTATCCATTTATTTTTATATTTGATATTATATTAGTGTAGCTCGCGAAAAATATTTTTTCTCTTATTATATACGTATCATTGATATAAAACTTTGAAGTCTCTTATATGTCGCCTTATATATCTATTCCTTTGTGAAAATATAATTAAATAAATTTAATAATGAAATGACATTGAAGAGTAAATTATGAATAATGCAAAATGAATAACAAATACAAACGTACACATTCCTAAAATTTTAATATAAAATCTAATTGATTTCCGTAGCTCTACTCGAACCCGCGTAGGGAATGGATTCGTTGTCCTCGCCAATCTTTCGCAATCGTTGTAGTTCTGCTTGTCGTGTTCTGAAATATAATTATATATTATGTAATGTATTAGAATTAAAATTTCGATTTCGTAAATATACCTTGCTAGGATTTCATCTTGTTCTCGTTGATCTTTACGACCCTTAAGCACTCTATACCCGACGCAAATAATCACCAACAAAATAGGAATCACAAAAGCGAGCACTATGCCAGTTGTGATACCCGCTTCACGAGAGCTGTATTCTTGTTGACCTAAATAATCGAGAGTAATCAAAAATTATTATTTAAGTAAAAACATTTTAAACCCGAAATGTATCTTATTAGTAGAATCCGAGAGTTTGCGAAGTTTAAGATGAATTATCTTGAATTATCCTAGAAAAATTTCTATTGTGATAAATTTTAATCCGTTCAATAATTTGACATACATGAACGGATAATAACGTAAATAAATGAAATTGTTTAAATAGGAAGGAGAAAAAGGTGTTGTTGACAGGAAAAATTCACGATAACTCTAGTGGAAATTTCCATTCCATTCTAATGCTATTAATTCTTCTATTGCTACATCGTAATGATGTGAATCGTTTTCGTTACCATAAACATTCTGTACATGCATGTGGAATAGAAATTTCCTATTACATTTATGTATATAAAAAAGTTTTTATTATAACAAATCTTTTTACAGTTTGTGAACACAAGTATTAGCATAATTAAATTGCGGGAAATGTATTTGTTACAACTATGTAAACCAGTTGTGACAATTAAATACTAGATATTATTGCATTTAATCGTCGCTTATTTAATATTTTTTGAAATGTATTAATTACATTATATTAATAAATGGTAATGTATGTATTTTAAACACAATTAATACTGTAACTATTTCTATTCCACAGCAAGAACAGTAATATCGTCATTATCTACACGAAAAAATTGAATAATGACGAACGGAATGATAAAGTTATATTTAAATTATATCACCTAAAATTTAATGAACATATATGGCTTATTTATGGTTAATTTGTTAAAATTATTTAATCTATTAATTTGACATATGCAAAATGTATGTTTTTTGAAATCAAAATATCATCCACGCATATGTATTAAATCCAAATAACGATGCGTCGTAAAGTAATTTTATTATCAGAATATATCTTTTGTTTCTATTATAATATTATTGAATTTGCTATTGAAACAAACGTCATCTAAACGTCACTTTCTTTAGCGGGACTGCCCGTTTTCCTAATCGAATCCGCGCCCGAATCTGACCCCGTGGGTGAAATGGGCTCCTTTAGATCAAATTCTTTATCCTCAAAGTCAATGTACGGTCTATTAGGTAAAGGTTCATGTGTACGGTATACTCTGTCATAACTACGACGCTTCCTAGTGCCGCTATTAGTTTCAATTGTGCTAGTATCGCTAATTGGAGTAATGGCCCTATCGTCATATGACTTTAACGGCGCGGTCTGCTTCAACGTAGATTCGTTGTCGGTACCAGACTCGCGCTCAGAATAGCGCCATGATTTCATGGAACCTCCTTGCATCTGGTTCCTTCTCATATAAAGGAAACCACCGGCGATGCATGCCACCACGGGAATTAATACGATGCTAATAATGCCCATTACGGTCCACGCTGTACGTTGAACGTACTCGATGTGACCTATATTTATATAATAAGCTTCAATCGCGTTCCACATATATGAATGGCAAACCACATTAATTTAACGATTGCAAGAAAAAAAAAAGATAAATATGGAAAGAAAAAAAGGATAAACATGGCAAATTAGAAAGGAGAAAAAAGAAAGAGATAAAAAAACTCAATTCTCAATAACTCTGTAAACTAGCTTTACAAAAATGGACTTTCGCTAAAATTAATTAAAATGTCTAGACATTTTAATTCATATGCTGAAAAAAAAATCTGAGTAAACCTGTGAGATGCATTTAGTAGTGCATTTTTTGAAATATTTAGTTTTTATCATCAAGTATAATAATAACCCAGTAAATTATTATAGTAAATTATTTCGTCTCAACTAAATGTATAGGTGATAAGACGAAATAATTTATTTAATGTTAACATTTAGTAGACTCAACTAGACGTAAAATATGCTTTTTTAAAATGTTTATAACTATTACTAAATATTTTGTTATTATGCTTGATGACAAAATATTTAAAAAAATGCACTACTAATTGCTTCTCACAGATTTCTCTCACTCAGAATTTTTTTTTCAATGTAAAACGAATTGCTGGAACTTGGTCTGCTTTGAATTATAAATGACCCGGTAAATGCTATCGTTTAATACACTTTCTTTATATATTGTATCTTATTCCATTCCTTATTCTCGTTTAGGATTGTTAAGCTGGTACGGTGAGATTGTAATGGAAAATTAATGCATTCATAAGTATACTTACGAAGACATTCCGTATATCCATACTCCGGAGTGTTCCATCGGCCTTCCGGTGTGCACACCCGACGTTGATCACCGACAAGTATGAAATCCTGATTGCATTCGAAACTCACTTTCGTCCCCGGGATAAACAGGAAATTGCTTTTACGTCCAAACCGGGGTGTTTCCAATACACCGCAGGATACAACTTAAAGATAGCATATACATATATGATTAGTAAATTAAATATATATAAATCTAATTAATATTATAAATTTATACATATAAATCTAATTATTCATAACAAACACATATTGCTGCACATTTACTTACTTTCCTTTTTATTTAACGCATTGATTTGGGTGTAAGTATCGTAATAATTCTTAGTAAAGTGCGCTAAGTCTCGATTTAAAGTCATAACGTAATCATATTGACATTGATACGATTCGCCGCACAAATCGAGCGCACGATTTATGTCATGTGTTCTGTTCGCTGGAAGTATCTCTGATGGGTATTTTCGATATTCCGGCACAAATGTGCGATTAGCATAATAACTCGCTGTTCGACCAAATTCCCGAAGGAACAAAGCCGCTCCTAATAGTTTACTCTCTTTATCTTCTAGCATCCAATGTATCGCGAAATCTTTATGAATAGTTTCCGAATGATTCACGCTATTAATAGGGACTTGATATCCTTGCGGACTTGTCAAATCGTCTGTATTATCAAAATTCCAAATTCCGAACAATCCTTTAGTTTTATTCTAAAATAGAAAAATAATATCCTTTAGCATGCATTATAATTTAATCCTGACATTTTATGTATTTATTAATTATGTTTCACGAAGCTGATTTTTTATTTTATGGAGCTTATTTTTTGTAAATGAGATTCCTTTACCACATACGACCACGGAAGATACATTCGAGTGGACAAGAAACCCTCGTTCTCCACGACTTCCACGCCAGCACCAGTGTCGAACATGATAATAACTTCGCTCTGATTCAATATATATGTGGGAGTATAAACAACAACCCCAGGGAAATGTTGGAATTTCAAGGATTGCCTGTCAAAATATATTCTTTGGCCATCTGCGAAAACATCGAGCCGATATCTCCATTGCGCATATGGGGGTCTCAAGCGAACTTCAATGGTGGCAGAGTTATTTCCTCTCGCTGTACATACAAGATATGTGATATAGCTATCTGTTTTTTACATAATATTAATAATATTGCAAAAATCTTGAAAAGTCAAACTTAAATCTGAAAATTAATTAATTCTTTCAAAGAATTCATGTAATAAAGCAGCAAAAGTTTACCTGCTAGCGCGGTAAGTTGTGTCGCCCTCACTGGACCATAAGCGTTGATGGGCATTTGTTCGAATCTACCTTGCACATCGAGTTTGTCTCTAAGATCGTTTACTCGTAACAAAACGAATTCACCTTTACCATTAAAAGTATATTCCACACCGTCGAACGTGACAAAGTGAGGATCACCGAATACCGTCGCTACCCCTGGTGATTGATAGGCAATACAATCCTGCGATGGTCTTCTCTCGAATCGGAATGTCTCACAACCGACTGCTTGTTCCTCTTGCCAAAGACAACACGTATAAAAAGGTACCACGTCGTGATACCAGTGCGAAAGAGTTGGTACCTTGTTAGCCTCGTTCCATGGAAAGAAGCCTAAATTATGCGATCGATGAGGTCGCGATCCCCATTGCTGATCGTAAGTTAACATCAGAAAACCATTCTTGTCGTAACAGCATTGTTGTTCCGAACCGTCCAAACTGAAATAATACGAATACGTAATTGTGTTGTGTGTAGTGAAGATAGAATGTAATTTCAAAATTATTTTGACCATTTAATTATGCAGACAGCAAAATTGATTCTAAACTACAAATGAGAGAAAATTTCCTTTCGGTTATTATGTTACTATGTATTTTATTCGGCATTTATATGAATAAGTAAGTTATTTTTAAAATATAAAAAATAAATTATTTACTTGGGTGCGCCTGTTCTCACGCAGTGAGACGCATAATGATTATAATAGCAATCTATATTCGAATCTTTGTCGCAATTGTAATCCGGAAGAAAGCGACCCTTATCGTAGAGAGCGTGCTCCAGAATGCAAGGACAAAGCGCTACCTCAGCGGCAAAGTTCTTAAGATATCGGTCATTCATAATCCATTTATCGCAGAGTTTGTGAGACCATCGCGAGCCGTATTGTCGTTCCCATTGAGGAGCAAAGTACCAACCGAGCGGAATTGGCCTGCTCCACAAGCTCCTATATAAAATTAAAATTGTTTAAATACTATTCAACCATCAGACCGGAAACTTTGAGTCGGATAAAACTTACGGTGTTATCGAGAGTCCAGAGTACAATTGTGGTTCAGTCAAATTGATCTGTATGAAACCAAAAATCATGTCGCTATGATATGGATTATACTGGTCTCGGTATTTGGCCGGTTTGATGATGTAACTACCAATATTAGTATGCGATCTCTAAAACATATATAGCACAACATAATTTATCGTTGTTTCTCATATTTTCTATCGTATCTTTATAGAATACGAACCTCCAAAGTCGTTATAAATTCAAATTCGGGCCTCGTCTTGGTTTCTCTGTATCCCCACAAAGAGATTTGCACCCCCGCTGCTATATTGGTCGTCAAATTATACGCGTTCCATGTGAATTTGATTTCCGCGGGATCTTTCTTGTGAACGGCCTCTTTGTCGCTGAAAAAGATCCTCTCCGTTGCCGTAGCTGGGGTTTCTGCGCAAGCAAACATTTTACACAATTTTTGTTATGAAGGATAAAAATACATTTTTCTATTAAGATTATAATCAAAAGAATAACATGTACGTGCAACAAGGAATAAAAATGATATCAAGATAAGAGAAATCTTACCGACGAAATATTTGCCTTTCCAATCATAAGTTCCACTATCGATTGCAATGTAGAAACGAATGTAGCCTTCGTATTTTAAGAACGGTTGTACGCAAATTGCGCGGTTTCTATCTACTACCGTGCCCATAACAACCTCGTTCTCGAAACGGCACTTGATTTTTTGAGACTCGTTGAAGCACGGTCCTGTGATATTGACGATGGTACCGCCCAACATATTTCCGCTTTCCGGAGCGAAAACCAGCGGCAAGTGTGCTCCGGCTGTATATCATTAAACATTGAAAGAGTTGTATTTATTTATTCAATATTTCTTAAAAGTACTGCGCTTCTTACCAATGTCCTTATTGCAAGTGCCCAACATGATTTTTTCGTCTATCCTGAAAATGTGTCGACCTGGAAAACCATTCGCCCATCCTCTGCTCGTTAAATCACGAATTGTGGTCGCCTGAGAGTAAGGCTTATATTCATAGCTCTGAGTACCGTTTCCAGCGTTGAAACCCACCTAAAAAAAGGCGAATGAATTTGATCTATTTAAATGATTTAAATATATAATATACAAATATTTTTATACAAATAACTTTATATTATTCCCTCGACGAGATATATCATATTCTATTAAGACATTACCTTTTGCGAAGAATTTACGTAATTACATATAAAATTTAATTAAATAAAATATTAATTGAAATGATATTCTCATTTATTATTGCAGCCAAAAAAATATTTTGCGATTACTTACGTATGCAGGGACTCCGTTTTCGCCTTGTGTCGTATCGCCGCCTGCCTCCGTATGACTGGTCCATTTTATGTTCAAATAATTGAATATAGCGTAAGTAAAAACTTCATCGGTAGCCAAAACCAATTGAAACGTGTTAGTCGTTTGAAGGGCTTGGCCGATGCCACCCGCAAAGGACATATTTTTCCAGGTTGCTATCAGGGCGTGTTTAGGCACGAAAGAATCAGCCCCGACAACACCTTCACGTATGTCCCACATGACACGCTCTCGCATCTCTACGCCAAATTGATCATTTCTCCCTTGCAAATCCCTCTCGAGTCTAATAAAGATTTATTTTCTATAAATTTCTTTAATTTATTTTCGAAAAATTGCTATTATAAAATCATAAAAATGTTTTATAGAATGTTATCTTAATTTTTATATTACGTGAGCATACCTAAAATATACTCCCGGTTTCCTTCGATCGATATCGGTTTCTCTTAATCTTCCTATACGACATTTACTGAAGAAGATGCCGATGAAGCTAGGATCATTTTTCTTAGGCCAATCTTTAATCGGAAAAACGAGAGGATACGTAAAATACTCCGGTGGATCGCTAAATTCCAGGTATCCGTTAACAGTTAACTAAAATATTATATAATAATTTTTTAAATTGTTTCGGCAATGATAAAGATTTTCATTTATAGCAAAAAATTGCAAACTATTGAAATTTAGACACCATTAAAATATCTAAATAATGAATTTCAAGATTTTTCAAATTTAACGTGAAAATATGGATACTTTCCATAAAAAGAAATTTATTGATAGCTTCTGATAAATTATAAAAATATTTGTATTAATACTATCAAAAATTATACAAATAAATAACAAATGCGATCGTACTCTTGTATAATTAAATCTGAAGCCAAAGAAAGGTAATTGAAAATTCAAATTTTTATGGATTTGCAATGTTGTTGCCTGCAAAGGCGTTTGATAATCTCCTATATCATTATCGCCACCTTTATCAAAATACCAATACATGAACTGAGAACGAATTTCTTTCAATCTAGTATCTGTTATTGTATAGAAAGGTGGATTGTCTTCTGGACGTGGCGCATATCTATCAGCCTCAGGTAAGTTCGAATCTGCATCAAATAGGGATCGATCAACATAATGCTAATAAAATAACTAATTAATTAAACCAAATAATATTCTTACATTTAGGTAATATCTTATAATAATTCCGAAAAAAGAATTTTTAGCAGTAGTGTATTTATAGAATAATAAAAAAGTTCTTTATATTATTATAAATATATATTATATTATTATACATTTATTATATCATATGTGTATATTTAATTATATTATTATTATATTATATTATATTTTTTTTGTATAATAAATATCCATAAATATCCATAAATATCCATATTGCAATATTTTGCAATCTTCATTTGAGCACATTAAAATACTTAATTTAATCATTAAATACTATATTATTAGATATTTATAGAAACATCAAATATTTCATCAAAATTAGTTCATGATGTATCAAAACGGTTCATTTAATGAATCATCTTTGATTCATGTTAAAGTGAGTAACTGATAAACACACTGATTCACGATAAGCTACGATATAGATTGTCTTTGTCGGAAAGTAAAGAATTTTAATATACGAGACTTGTGCATCGAATTAAACTATTTTTTTTAAGATATGTAAAACACAAAAAATTAAATTTTAAGGATTCACGTATTAACAAGATTAATGCAAGCAAGTTACGTACTCATCATTGCTCACTCTTACATTATTTATTGCGAAACAATGGTCACACCCATTGATAACGAATTACTTACCGTATCTTACATATTTTCCATTCTTTTCGTTTGCCATTTTACCAGAAATAACTTGAACGAAGGGCGAAACCGTTACTTTCTCGGAGTCATTTTTCGATGCGAAAACATTTTTAATTTCCGGCAAAATTTCGATCGGATTTTTCTCTTCATCTTTTTTCTCGATTGAAGTTAAATCCTTCTCATCCACAACGAGATCTTCGAGTTCCGTTAGAGCTTCCGCCTCTTTCTCGTGTGGCAACAATTCGATATTCTCTTCCGCATTATAACTCGCGGTCGACTCGGGTGAAGCCAATCCAAAGAAATCCTCGAATGTCTTGTTTTGCGCGATAATACCATTTGGCATTAACGAAAGGAGGCAAGTGAAAAAAATGATCCATTTCGTTAACACAAAAATGCAATCGAACTTCCTCCACGATGCTCGAGGTCGCATTTTCGCGATGAAGCGATGAAACGATACGAACTAATTACTTTAGTACGCACGACAAAACTGAACTCAGATTCAAGTAACATGCGATAACGGTACACTGATATCATCGGCTCTAGTCTGATAACGTACATTTATCTCTTTACTACAGGTAGATAGATACGCAGCACAGCACATTGAACGAGATCTTCGCGCGTTCTACTTAAAAAAAGGGCGTATACGCACGCATTCACGAAAAGCGCATTCAGAGTATTTTGTTGATAAATCGAACGATTGAATCGTTTATAGCCTATTGTCGCAAATACATTTTTAAAAAAATCGACATTTTAGAAGTAAATTATTTATTCGATTTTTGTAACTGTCCGTTATTTACAAAGCAGATATTTTTAGTACGATTGGTTTGAAAATGTACCAAAATCTTTCTTTTTTTTTTTGCGGACTCAAGTTTTACAATAAAACAGTGCAGTATATATAGCAAATGTTATATAAAGGATACCTCGCCTTTAATTATATTACTAACTTTTTACACGAATGCATCATTTACGTCATTTAGAACATTCGTTATATATATAATAAAAAGATACGATTCTTATATCAATATTTATATATATATATATGTTTAACTTAAAAACGCGGGAAAAAATAGTGCATCCTTCCTTCATTAATGGTTTTCTAAAATGTACCATTGTTTCATACTTAAAATGTGTATCGCGCTACAAATGCATCATAGAATATATATATGTATGTGTGTGTGTTAATGGTAATAGATACATCTATACATGTAGCATATACATTGCGTTTGGCTTGAGTATGATGTTAAACGCCTTGTGTCATTTCAGTATTTAGATATAAATATATATATGCAAGGATATTAAAAATGAAGGAAATTATGGAATTTTTGTACTGTAATGGTATCTTATATATCAATATTGTCCAAATGTTTACAAAAAAAATTACATTACATTTTTTATTTGCTGTTTGGTGTTGTAAATATTTTCGATTGATGGTACTTATCACAGAAGGAATCTATAAAAGTCACAGATATTGGAACCCAAAAAAAATTAAAAAGATTTGAAAGAAACATGTCTAAATCGACTTTTATGTGAAATCTGCAGCAATGATGTCGATATAATTTTGCGGATACGAACTATACGCTTGATCATTAAGTGAAAAGATTTTTTTGTAACATTTTATTTGTAATGAAATAATCTCTCTGTTACGATTGATTCTTTCTTTAACATTACGATGTTGAGGCATTATCACCATTACTGTCCATATATCCGCTAGATCCATTCATAACAAATGACGTACCCAAACCATATAAGTGCCCACAATACTTTGCATCATCAATATTATCTTCGAAAAACATCTGGAATAGAAATCAAAGAGATCAATCCTATGTATAAATATAAATACATATTGCCAAAATTTGTAAATAAAACTATTTGATACACACACACACACACACAATTATATCTATTAAATTATTTACCTCTCGCATTTTAAAAAAGACCATTCCAGTAAGAAGAGAATCGGACCCTGCTTGATGTTGAGGGCCTACTCTTTGAATTTCCAACTGTTCTGCAACTTCTTGTAAACCACCTTTCAAGTTCTTGCATGATTTCATTAAGTACTACATATATAAAAAAACATATTATAAAATTAATAAATTATAAAATTTTTATATTTATATATTTTTATTTATTATTTATTTATTTATATATTTTTAATTTTGTTTACTTTTTTTAAAAATTTCTATTTACTTTTACATCATATATCGTTGGGAAATATATCCTCAACAGCTCGAAAAATTCACTTTCTTCCTGTGGCAATTTTTGATCCGTGAGGAGCTTCAGTAAATAACCAAAGTCATAACCAGAATGAAAAGATAGCCATTTTATATCATCAACAAGAACAATTCCCGATGTCATTAGCAATTCAGCAAATTCTAAAGGATCGATGCCTTCCTCTTCATGTTTCTTAAACTGTATACCACTATTTTGTAGCATATCTATACTATCCTGTGCATACATGTCTTCACTAGTAACAACAAAATATACACATTTTATTATTAAAAAATTGTTTAGAAAAAGTTGTAAACAAATTGATATAATTATTTTAATCCTTTAACTGCAACTGTCATCAATAGACGATAAATATGAATACATATCCATAGTTAAGGAGTTAAAATCTTAAAAAATTGCACATATGTAAAATAAACATTAATGTTAATACATATAAACTTACTGTAAGTTGAATTTAAAATTAAACTGCCATGTTGTGTAGCTACCACCAGGCGTATTCCCCGATTCATCAAGGAATGTGAGACCAAGTTGAATTATTCGCAAAAGATCTACATTGCAACGTAAGAGCTGATATTGATAATCGGCATTAGTTCTGAATTCACCTATCAAAACAGAAAAAATCACGATATATATGTGTATATATATATATATATATATATATATATATATATATATTTGAAGAATATATAGTAAAATTCTGCAAAAGTATACATTCTTACCAATAGGTCTAGCTACGACACCAGGAAATTCTGTATCCATTGCAATGTATTGATATTGCTGCACGACTTGACGAATTGTGCGAAATTCCTCTTCGAGATTGTGTCCCCATACATCTCTAATACCACATTCTTCATTACTGGGCATAGTCCCTCCTCCCTTCTGCTGCCCTATTGGGTTGGTCCCACCTAAAAATTTTCATAATTAAATAACACTCAAAAAATAGATGTAAGGATGTAAAAATCAACTGAATATTTAGTGGAAATTATAGACTACAGATTTTTACTTTTACAAACTATTGTCATAATTTAAATACCAGGAACACATGAAAGTGACACATTTTTGATAAAAGTCTTTTATAATTTATAGAAATAAATTTACATGTATACAATATATGCAAAGTTATAAATGCATACAACAAAAAAAAGATTTCTTTATTTATAATAAAGTTACATGATTTTTGATTGTGTTCTTATCAATCTTCAAAACATGATATTTTGAACTGCACCTTCTAATAGATGTGCATCTTTTTCAAAATATATAATCACACCATTATCAACAAAAGACTTCTACAAAAGACTTCCTTTATTGAATATATTTTCATCCACTTGAAACTTGCATTTAATTTACTCTGCTTCTTTATTGCTGTAATATGTATGTCCTTTATTTCTTAACTGGGTACATGTGCATATTTCACTTTCATTGTTCCTGATTCAGTCAATATATGTGACTTTTAATCTATAAAATACTATTATATCATATATATAAATATTGTATGCATAATTTTTGTTGTGCAAAAGCTTTTATCTACACAAAATATTATTACATTTTGTGCATTGCAAACAGAATTCTAGTACATTTTACACACCGGTAGCCGAAGGCATATTCCTGCATTCACCGAGGCCACTCTTATCTTCAAATTCCCTCTGTCACGGTCTTTCCTTCTTCATATCACTGTGAATTTACAGATAATCACTAAAATAATTGCTATACGTTGCTTACAAATATTATTAACTAGAAAAAACTCTAAATACATTTCATACAAATTATATAAGATTATTATATTTCATAAAAGTAACAGTTTGTATTGTAAGTTTTCAGTCAGTATTGCAAGTAGGCAGGTTATGGATCATGGGTAAACAATAACAGTTCATCATTGTAAATATCATGTATAGATGATATGCAGAATAATGCAAGCACATAAATAAATGCGGTAGTAAAATCATTACGAGAGAATGATATATAATAGAATTGCTCATTGTTTATTGAAGTTAGTTTGATAAGTTTATTGAAAAGTCAGGTTATGTATCTTTTTTAGGCGGAAAAGAACATCGTTTAATGTTCATGACGAGATAACGTACGACAAATTATACCTTTTAATATGATATTCTTGGCCAGCAGAATCTGAATATAATTTAATCCAGGCGATACTTTCGAAGCCACAATCTTGTGTCAAATCATGAACAGCTCTAAACAATTTCTCCTGCTCGCGAACTCAACTGAATCAACTTTGTACGTATGATACGAAATACAGGCGCTTCGATCGCTGATATCAGAGACACTGACGAGATACTTATTAACAAGACACCATCCGTGGGTAAATTTTCAGCGCATTAGATGAACAGGTAACATGATAATTGCAGATTGATGACATTACCGACCGTCTTGATTCAGAATAAGGAGCAATCGATTGAGCTATTGCTCATTAAAAAATTTGAACTTTCAGCGCCAATTATTTCCAGCGCCATTTCGGTCTTGTATCGTACAATATCACCTCTACATCCATTTAATCGCTTGGAACTACATGGTTACATATACTTTTCGATGACTGGTAAAATCTTTGTGTCACTGCTATGAATCCATAACTGTGAAATATGAAAATAATTCTTAAAAGAAAAAGGGTCACGTATTCTCAGACTTCTTTGATAATAATCTTTCTTTAAATTAGAAATATTAAATTGAAATGAAGCATTAATATTAGAAATAAAAATGCTACAAAAATAAGATTATTTATATTATAAAGTAAAATATAAATAAAGAAAATTGAAAAAAAATGAAAAGATTAATATCAGATTAATTGATTTAAAATTTGCGTCATATATTATCGTAAGAAAAATATTTATAGTATGGATTCTGTAAAGAGAATTTAACTGTTACATTCGAGAAGAGTTTCTGGCGTAAAACCAAGTGAACCTTTCGAGCAAAGTCAATGTGCACAAGCTTTCACCAGAACGAGTTACACCTTCAGGCTATGATCGAGTCTCTCTCTCTTTGAGATCGACTCCTCTGTTCCTCAGTCGTTCCCACTCCTCTTTATAATCATCCGTTTCTCTGTCGCACTTTTCACCCGCGATCAAGACGAGACCCGCTTCCACGGTAACGTCGTTGATAGATGAAAATTATCATCGAAAACGATATCATTATTGATTGTTCGTTTTTATTCAATCAATATAGCGATCTTTCAACAATTCTATCTATTTGACTCTTATAATTATAGCCATTTTATCTTGACTTTCTTCTATGTAAATCTATCTGAAATATGTTTGAAATTCATACATTTCTAAAAAGCGAAATAAAAAAAAAACAAAATCAGAGAACGCAAGCTCAAGAATATGTTTGTGATCTTGAACTTTTTCTAGCATGCAACAAATTACAGAAATAAAGAAGAAAAAGAAATTATAAATTTTATAAAATAGTCTTCTATTGTAAATATCTTATTTAAATTTTATAAAATAGTCTTCTATTGTAAATATCTTATTTACTCCAACATCTTGTGTATATATCTTGCATAATCAGTCAAAAAATGTATAACTGTTTTATGCACAAGGTTATATAACGTGTTGTTGCATCAAAACCTTCATCAGCTGATGACATAAAGTGTCGATTGCTTGCTCCATAAATGTATTGTGTTTTATTCAATTGAATGATACTCAGCTTCTTTCCTTGCCACATGAGGAAAGAGACAGCAACACGGCCGGTCATGGAGAGAAGGAGAGAAAAAGAGAGAGGATCGCCGGCAGTAACTTGGAGAAGGAGGAGGAAGGCCAGCCAGAGGATGGCTGGTGATCGGCTTCGGATCCACGAGTGGCAGTCCATGGTGCGAGTAGCCGGCGCACAGTCAGTCATTAATTCGAGCCAGTCGGTTGTAGTCAGTCGGCATTAGACAAGCAGCTCCGGTCGCGAGGTCGCATAGTGCGCCTCTCGCGCCTCGATCCCATCAGGATTTGTTTCTTATTTTTACCTGTTTGTTGAAAATTGCGCTTTTAATTTCCGCGACGAGATCATTTATTTCGATAGATCTTCGGAGTGGCGCGCGAACTTAACATTAAGTGCGCGGAGTGTCTCGATATCGAGTGCTGGATGAAGACACTTACCTGGTATATAAGTGATAAAGTGTCGACTGCGCGAGGATTCGAAGAGGTGCTCGAACGGCCTCTTGTTGGCGATATATTCTAGAAGAAGCTACAGAAACCTGACTACGGATGGTTAACGTAAGTATTATGTTAAGTTGAGAACACATGCGAGAATACAGTAGTTTCACATTAATAGTTTTTTATATTAAATTAAAGACATGGTAATACATTATAAATACATATAAAATTAATAAATATGTATAAATGTATAATTATTCTTTTTAGTTTGCTTAGTATCATTGTAATATTAACATAAGAATAATCGATAAAAAATTAAAATGTATTATTAAAAAGCCTCTATGATGACAAATTATATTAGCGACAAATCATATTAATAACAAGAAGTATTAGTACACAATTATATCAATATTCATATTTCAATCATAGAATAATTATGTATTTTTACTGTATTTTTACTGTTTTTTGTGTGTGTTGGAAATAAATAATTATAAACTTTGGTAAGAGGACAATTAAAATATTTATAATTATATATTATATAGAAATTAAATATAAGGTATTAAAAAATATTGAAGTCACGTGTTATCCAACTTGAGATCTTTAAATCTCTATCTTTTTTAAAATTTTAAATAGATCGAAAATCTTGTTTTCTACTCTATATAATTTTTTATTTAGCAAAACAAGTTTGACAATTATCTATTTAAACCCGACTTTGAAAAAACGTTGGCCCACTTTTCTTTCCGTTCTTTGTATATAAAGTTTCGACTTACGAAAGACTTTTTCATACTGCCCACATATCTCCATTTCAGCGATAGTTTGCTATGGAATTTCTAGTAAGGTGTGGCGCGCTATGTGACTCGAATGATTTCTTTATGTGAAAGTCATCTCGCTCTGTTTGTACCGAATCTATAATAGCTAGTGAAATGGAAACTATTGGCTGAGTATAGAATGATAATTTTAGCGCGAAAAAGATATATATTGTTATAATGAAACGACAACAATTTCCACCTTACTTTGAGCGTGGAATATTAGCATCACATTACTTAAAAAAATCTTTTTCATAATTTTATATTCTTACTATAATCTTATTAACGTTAAATTTAATATCTCATTTGTAATCTAATATATGTAAAGATACTGTTTTGTATGAAGTTTGAAACATTGTATTCTTAGTGTAGTGATTCCAAAATTAAATTGTATCATATATCTTTCATAATGACAGATTGGAGTAATAAATTATTTTTTACATAACACATTATCAATAATACTATAGCGAGAAAGCTTACAATATGTGATTTTATATTCAAATTTCAGAAGTATTAGTAAATTTTCTATTAAAATGGTTTTATAGATTCGTTACGGCTCATCAAACTTCCGCATTTAAAATTCCAAATACACATTTACGATCATTGATTGTAATTTCTCTTCTATATTCGTAAAATTTCTGATTTAGAAATCCAATAGTTTTCAATTTTATATGAAACTATGTTATATTAATAGCAGTCATTCTTGAAACTACTTTGCCTATAAAAAGTATTATATTTTAATATGCAAGACTTTCTAAAATTAGCAATTTTCCGTAATAATGTTCTAGATTGTGCATCAAAGTAATTTGACGTACAAAAAGTGTTTTATACATTTATTTTTTATCACACATCTTGTTATTAAATTAAATTTTCAATAATAAAATTTATTACATACATTTATATTTTATTTTACATATTATTTATATTTTATTTTGCATATTAAAAAACTCACGTAAATAATAATTTATATTTAATAAATAACTATTACTGTATCAGAAAAACAAACTGTCGTGAATGGTATTTCCGAGCTCTCTTTCTTTGCCCCTGCAATTGTGCATGAACTCAGTAATTTTGTTTAGCACTTAACTTAGATTACTGTAATGAATTGTCCGCGAACGTAGGACATTGTCGTTGTGAAAGAATCCATGCGTCCCTGAAGCATTTTTACTTTCGAATGCGTCACCCATAACCACAAATCTCTACCTATGTTTTCAAACTCCTTGAAGTCCATTAGCTTAGGTCAGTCATCTCAGCCTTATTGGAGAACATCCGGATAGTATATAATCCATGTAATCTTCTTGCACCCAAAAGTGTTGTTAAAAAAAAGCTATAAAAAAGGAAAAGATATTATGATATCAATTCCTTTGGAACATGTTTAAACTATGACATAATATCTATAATATCTATAACATCTGACGCGAAAATGTTATCGTTATGATTACTTCCAATCTTTTCTTCTCGAATATTATAAAAAAAGGATATAAAGGATGTAATAGTTATTCGTATTCTTGAAAGAATTTCTACGTTTGCAACTTGCAATATTGCTTGATGTATTGCTCGCATTTATTATATCAAGATAAATTAATTATGCGATCCTATCCCAGCAATTAATGCATTAACATCTTGAATTTTCACGAGTTGCTCGTTGCACTTTCACGGCAACGAAATCGGCGCTGCAAGATAATCCGGTCATCAAATGAAGAAACAAAACAGAGAAAGAGAGAGAAGGAGAAAAGACGAGTTCACCTGTTCCCTCGTATTTCTCGACATGGTCGAG